GGTGTGAAAAAATAGTTCTCGGAGGAATGGTGCCACCGCTGACAGTTGTAGCATTGTGGCACCTGGTTTTTCGACTTAAATTTTCTACTTCAACAGAAAACAGTAACAGATTCACATGATATATTTTTTCTGCATTTTCATTCTTAACAATCTGAACTATGAATAGAGGTATAGGGCTCTGGTTTTGCGCTTCGTCAGTTGGGTGATTTTTGTAATGGAAAAACCTTTTTCCGTGAAGAGCGTTTACAAAATTTTGCTTGTTGTTAGTGGTTCATAGCCCTCGAATCACTACTTTAATCGGTCTTTCATATTTTAGCATTAATGACATAGTGCTCTATTTTTTTGCTTTGAAATAAGGCACTTAAAGTACGATGGTCTTCCAGACTATGAAGCAGAATTTTAAGTAACTCTCCATTAACTTTGCCAAGAAATTTGGCTTTGGTAATTTTAGATAAATTTTGTAAGAATTCCTCGTGGGTTTCATCTCCAGGGTTAACCATTACTGGGGGGGGGCAGCCGATTGGCTAACAGTCGTCGGCTGCTGCACAGCCTGCGTGTCTGGGTTATCAACATTCATTTCACTATTTAAAACATCAAATTCATTTGCAGTAGTAACTTTCTGATTAAATTTCTCGACTTTTTGCTGCTTAGCGGTTTTAGTCGCTAGCTGGAAACCTTCATTATCTATATTATTAACATTAGGGTTAAGCTTACATTTATTACCAGAAACAACATTTTTAGAATTTAGAGGGGGGGTTAATGCCTGACAAACTATCGAAATTGTATTTATCCCTGATATCCTGGGCTTGAGCTTTGAGCTTCTGTAAAATCTTGATTATTGGAGCTGTAACAGTATCCTCATCCGTCATTGCACGTTTAGCCTGGTGAACCTGGATCGCAGCTTTAACATTGTTGATTTTTAGATCCAACGATTTTATTCTATCCATCATAATATTTAAATCCATATCCGATTAAAAAATGACATTAGTCGTCTTAGATCCATTATCGGGCACAATAAGTCCTACACAGCTTTCCCGTGGAATAGCAGCACTAGGCCTACTCACATCCATATCACTTTCGTCTCCATCTTCCACGCTGTTAGGCTTACCCAACTCAGCTTGCTCGCTCATGACGAGCAACCTACACACGTGAAGATCAAGGACCGACTTTTGAAAAACTGAAATATCTTAGTTGGATAATTTACACACAAGTTTTGAAACAAGTTCATAATGGATCTTAAGGTACACTAGTTATTCTACTGATAAAGAGTGGCACGGTGAGAAACTGTCAGCTGAATTACTAACACTATTACACTAAATTACGGATGAGCATCACTCAGATAGTACGGTGGCAGTCACATGGGTGTCACCCTCTCATAAACTGACCACAGCCAATGCTGCTTGAAGAAATGTATTCTCAACTGAGAAGTGCTGGAAGGTAAACAGTAAACAGTTTTGAAGTATCACAAACAGTTCACACTAAATAGAGGCACAAAAGTTCAGGAGCAAAACACGCGATTTGAGAATACTGGCAGTGTAAATCTAATCACACAACATCGTGGCAAATGACACATTTTTCAGTAAGGGTAGCGGAATGTTGAAAACACACACATAAATCATTATACACTTGAGTAACCGAAAGAGTTTTTCAAGTCCAACCAAAAATTTCAATTCTACTCAAAGTCTCTCAAGTCCAACCAAAAGTTTCAATTCTACTCAAAGTCTCTTGTAAGGTAATACAAAATAAAGTACTTGAAAATAGTGAAAAATACTTGAAAAATAATAAGATAAACCACTTGAGCTTTTAGAGTCCTAATCAAGTCCGTATAAATACACAAAGTCTGTACTGGGGTTCTATTTACAATATGTACACTATATACATCGTTTCCACCATTTTGGATTATGAAAAATGCTCCTAGGACATTTAGCAGCATTCTCCAGTGTAGGATCGTAATTGATCAGTTCTTTAATATGATCGTACTGGGAATGTTCAATTTTCCTGCAGAAGTTATGACTTGTAATAATCTGGTCAGCAATCGGTCTAATTTTTAGTTCTTTATGGATTTGCAAATTTCTAACGAGCGAAGGAGAATTAACACATTTCTCGCAGAATCTTGTTTTGGAAAACTTGTAGTTTATGTCTGTAGGTTGTAAACACCGTAGCCCATATAGGGATAGCATAAAGCAGGATCGGTCTGATAACATCGTATAAACTCTCTTCTTTAGTTTAATATTTAGGTTAGAATCTCTTTTAATAAGTGGATATAAGGCCATTTTTGCGGTAGTAGCTTTACGTAGGGCATGAGTAGTCTGTCTTTGAAGAGAAGCTGTGAGTCGAAAATAACACCCAGGTACTTCGTACTACTAACAACAGGGAGTTGCTGATCATTTATCTTGATGTTAACATTAACTGGGGTGAATTTCCTATGTCTTCTGAAGGGCAAGACTTGGCATTTGGCGGGGTTAAGTTTCCAGGAGTTATAGTGGTGAGCAATCATATTAACTGCTTCTTCTAGCTTGTCCACGGCGAGCTGCGGCTTTAAAGATCTTGTAAGAATAGCCGTGTCATCTGCATATTTCACAATTTTTGTATTTAGAGGGATAGGCTATCATTGGTAAATATATTAAAAAGAAGCGGGCCTAGGACACTTCCCTAAGCAACGCCACTTTTGATTCTTTTTCTGGAGGAGAGAGTATTATTAATCTTGACGTGAAAGTGCGATTTTTTAAGTAACTCTGCATGAGTTTGTTAAAGTTTATAGGCAAATGAGCAAGGTGCAGATTATAGAGGAGACCCGCATGCCAGACATTGTCAACTGACTTTTCTAAGTCCAGGAAACAGTTTGCAATTGTATTTTTCTTAGAAAAAGAATCTGTTTTGAATTCAGTAACATTGAGAAGCTGATGCACTGTACTATGCCCCAGGCGAAAGCCGAACTGCTCATTTCGAATTATCTCTTTATCTTCCAGATGTTTAGTCAGCCTTTTCTGAAGAACACGCTCGAAAACTTTACTTAGGTTGAGAAGTAGGCTTATTGGGGGATAAGAGTTAACATTTTTTGGATCCTTACCCGGTTTAACAAAAGTTATGATGTGTGCCGTCTTCCATTGCTGCGGAAAATAATTAAGCCTTATGCAGGTATTAATTATATTGGTAATCAAAACAATATAGCCCCCGGGGAAGATTTTGAGTACACTGTTCGTAATCCCGTCATAACCGGGGCCCTTTCTTCTATTCTTTAAGTTCTTGATAATATTTTCAACTTCTGAGGGAGAGATGAAACCACAGTGTTAAGCATCAGTTCTGTCATGTAGATGGGTAATGAAGTTAAGTACCTCTTCATCAGTGTCATCGTTCTGGGAGTTATTATTCGTAAAGTGTTTTCTAAATGCCTGTCGAGAGCATCAGTCCATGTCTTTTTCGGAATACCCAATTCCTGCATCTGTGTGTAACGGTCCGATGTTGTCACTATGGGTTTTTTTCAGCGCTTTGCCAATACTCCACACAGTGTTAGGGCTAAAGTCCATTGAGTCTAAAAGGTTATTCCAGCTATTCGATCTGTACTCTCTCAAAATAATTTTGATATTTCTATTTTTCCTATTTAAATTTCTTTTGACAACTGGATCAGATTTTTGCGATGCGGTTCTTGTCTTTAATTTTACAATAATGTTGTCAGCTTTTTTGAATTCTTCGTTTCTCGTAAACTTGTCGAGGGCACTTTTAATACACCTGTTAATTTTGGTAATCTGGTATTCAGTGTCTGCAATATCGGCGAGAGCCGGATGCGCGAAAAGTTTTTCCAAGGAAAGACTGAACCTGTCCCAGTTAATATTTTTTTTGAGAGGGAGATTTTTCTTGAAGCCATAGTACGTAGACCTGACAGACAGATGATCTGAGGTTAACTGATGAGAAACTTGTAAGAAAGGAGTATGCACTATATTGTTGGTGATAACTATATCTAGAAATTCAGCACTGCCTGTGTGATGGTACCTGGTGGGATCCGTAGGGCCAAGGATACTTATATCATTTGTGAGAGCATAATTATGCAGGAAATTCCATTAACATTAGGCGAGAGTTCCAAGAATGATGCTTGGCATTTAGATGTCCAGCGATAATAGTGTGAGGCGTAATGCGTAAATAGTGTGAGGCGTTAAAGATATTCATATCACTGCTGCTGATATTATTACTCTGGGGGGGGAGTTGTAGGCCGAAATAATCACAATTGGTTCGTTAGTGCGAGAGTGGGTGATTATGGCGGTAGTTTCAATATTACTATTTCCTGTGAGATTAAAGTAGGTAGCCTGCAAGTGCATTCTGATGAGAATAAATGTGCCGCCTCCCTTGTTGTGTACTCTGTCTTTCCTAAAAGTCCTGTACCCTTCGATGTTAAATTTGTCACTAGCACGAAGATGCGTCTCGTTGACTCGGAAAACATCTATATCGTGATGATTAAGAAAGTTGATGATCTCTGTGGTCTTGCCACGAACTCCGTTGGCATTAAAAAAAAAGGCGAAGTTTAAACTGCTGGAGGTAGTAATTTGAATTCTTGCATTATTATTTAAAGGATTAAAATTTATAATTTAGACTTGATAAAAGTTCGAAAGCTTCCCAGCCAATTTGGAGTTTTTCCATTATTGATTTAGCTTTAAAAAGCGTTCAAAAAGCGCTTTGCCTTGGGTGAATATTTTTTTGATCCATTGCAGAAAATCCGGGGCGGAGCCTATTTGCTCCTTTTCGCTATCTGCGTTCTGGTTGGCTGGAGTGGGGCTAGCTTCATTAACATTTTCGTTAGTATTTTGAGTATTACTTCTACTCGGTAAAGGAGGGAAATTTTCCAAGTTGACTTCGGGTGAGATGTTTCTGGGCTTTTTCCAAGCATCTCTTTGATTTTCTTTAGCGGCTATTTTACGCTTAATATTATCTGGGTGCATCTTGGAACCCCTAAATGAGCTCACGTTGGGGCCTCCACAAACGCAACACTTTCCTGGTAGATTTTTGTCTTATTTGCAGACGGTAGTAATATGAATTTGCCCATACTTTAGGCATCTTGGCTTATGTTTGCAGTGAGAGCGACTATGGCCATATCGTTGGCAATTATGGCACTGTTTGCGCCTAGGGGTTGGTTTGAATGAGGTAATTTTGACCGCAAGGTCCAAGATGTGGTTGACTTGATAAATCGTTTTTCCTTCTAGAGTCCGTGGAACTTCTATGAGGAAAGTAGGAAATTTAAGAATTTCGTTGTCTATCTTTTTGGTTATTTGACGGACAGATTTAACTGGTATTTTCATTTCCTGGAGCTCGTCCAAGATTTCTTCGGGTTTGGTGTGCACAGAGAGTTTCTTTATCACTATTTTCAGGGGCTTGTCCCTAGGAAGGCGAAATGTATGATAAGGTATTTCCTTAGGGTCCAAAAATTTAGTGACTAAGCGATAGTCGTAATCTGATTTTACTTTAATATGGATATCTCCCCCTTTTTGTACACATTCCATAGCGGTAGTAAATTTTTTGATTTCATCTCTAAGGGGCTTCCACGCAGTAATATCCGAAATAATGATCGGCAAAACACGGTCAGCAGTTTTGCGATGAGTTATGAATTCTCCTTCTTCTGTTTGGTCCATTTCCTGGGGTTTTGTGGTGGGAGTTTGATTGACTTCCATGCCATCATCTAAGGTTTGAATATCTGCTTTTAACTGAAGTAACAGATGAGTTACTGATATCACTTAAAGTGCGCTTATGTGTCTTTTTGGGCTTTATCCATGCTTCATCCTGATTAGGGGAGTTATCTTGAGGTTTTACACTATCCATGTTTTGTTGGGTCAGAATCTGACCTATTCCTACACACTCGTCAAGTTCTTTTGAAGTGTTTATATCCTTTAACTGTCTTGCATTGAGAAGTTTAGCTACCATTAAATTGAATAGCTCAACAGCTTCTGGTTCCACTACTTTCTGACGATTGTCAATTAGATTTTTCTGAATATGTAAATAGCTAATTATAGCGTCTAATTCCTCATCAGAGCCACGCTCAATAAGGTTATCAATTACATTCCTATCATTAATTAAATTTAAGGTCTTAATATATTCTAAATTTGGATTCATATTTACAACCTAATAACCTATCGTCCCTACCGTCTAGGCAAGTACATCGTGAAAACATGCAAACAAAAAATCAAAGCAATACTTACTCGCTCGAACAATCGGGAACTCTGCACCAAGCAACCAGCTCGAAGCAACTCCAAAGCTCGAATGAATGTTTCGGTACCTTTCATTATGAACTATTATATGACGATCGAATGTTAAGGCCCTTTGCAGCTCATATGATTGATACAAATTTTCCTACCTAATTTACGAATATTAAAATGTTATCGGTACTTGTATATAGTGTAAATAATGTATATAATTTATTTTATTCCAAGTTCCAAGTTCCTCTTTAAGCCGCGATTAGCACGCAGTAATTACGTGCTGTGATAATTTATCTTATCCGTCTTAATTTTCATTTTATATTACAGTTTATAAAAAATGCTGTATAATATCCTCACCACAAATCAGGAGACGTTATCGACTCACGAGACACAAGACAGCAAATCAAGACTCCTCCAGACCAATGAGTTGAAACTTCAGCACCCACGTGGCAATGGTCACGTCCCTTACCTCACCCTCGGCGCTCCTTCAACCACGGCCGCAGTCAGTCAAAAAATGCTATAGCCAGGCGTCGAACGACACGACTTCAGAGAGCCGGATCACGTCATGCAAGTTCGCATGATAATTCCGGCATATCAGCGGAACTAGGAACGCTTTAACACCATTTCCAGACGCTGCGCCGTAAAGGAAGGACGTTCCCTCAGCGAGCTGCCATATAGTTGCTTATTTTTCCAAGCTTTACTATCATCCTTTCCTGCAACCTGAGAAGCGGTCATTATGCAAAGTTATTATTCTGTTCACTCTAGAATCACATCTCCCGCAGAACTTATTTCTGCCTTGAATATTTTCTCGCGATAACTTTATTATTTGCAATCCCATTTTATGAAACATGCCAATGAGCCTATTAATCGCAAAATCTTTCCTCTCCACTTTATGCTTTTGTGTTTTATCGTGTTTATGAAAAAATATAAAATACCAAAAAAATTTTAAAAATTCAAAATTAAAAAAAATGATTAAAAATCTAAAACTTAGAAAAAATTATGTATTCTTACGTTTTTATAAATTCTCGCTTTCCCTAACCTTTCTCGAGCCATGTGTCTCTCTCTAGTGAGCATCAAGTTTACTACTTATGCATTTTCCCTATTTCTGCTCGCTTTTATGTATTTCTGATGAGGCGGTACATGGTTTTGAACCATACGCACTACGTAATTTTTAATCACTTGCATTGGCTTTCTCTTTATTCGAGGTTCAGACTTGGTGCGTGAAGGTGCAGTTGCCTCTCGCTCCCTATATTTGACTTCGCTGATTGTTTTGTGTTTTAGTCTATGTGTTATATGTTTGATCAGATAGCCTGTCTCAGTAAAAGTAGGCCAGTGTAACTCTGATTCAAAATCCGGTTACTACCACGTGCAGTGCTGATAATGACCACGTGTTCTGATGCTTTATTTTTCTTCTTTTTTCTCCTTTCTTGTAATTTCGTTCTCCTGATGAGGAGCGACCTTTAGCTGCCCTCGAAATCGATTGAGTGTTTTAATATATGTACGCTAAATACAAGGTTGTTATTGCGATTTTGATAGTTTTCCACTTGCTTTTTGACTGCCCATAAAGCAAGAAATATATTGAAATGCAGATCAAAATTAATTAGAATTCATTGGCCGCCGAAATGTTATGATTTTGTATCTTCAGCTTCGGCCTACCGAGCTTTCAACGATTTTGTTGACTTTTATTTTAAACATTGTAAATGATTTCTTTATATATTTTTATACTATTGTATTTACTTTTTTTTTTGTGTTTTTTTCCTTTGTGTATGATTTCATTGTATTATTGAAAATTGATGTTATTACTTACAATTTGGCCTTTTTTTTACTGACGATTTGTAAGTGTCGTGTGATACTTTGTGTTGCATGAGGATTTCTTTTTCTTTAAATAATAATAATAATAAAAAAAAAAAACTCTTTTAAACGAGGATTGGAGTACTGAAGATCAGAGAGGTCAGTCACCCCAGGTAAGCAGAAAGCGTCTCAAATGCAGCTGAAAAAGCTGTTAAAAAATTGTTGAGTTGCCTCAGATGTAGGCAGTTTTGAAAGAAAATATCTTACGTAACGTTGTTGGGCACTAAAGAATGTGAGCAGTGTCTTGACAGAGAAGTTTTTAAGAAACGTTTTAAGAGGTACGTATTGTTTGAAATGAAGGACGAAAGCTGTGACGGCACAGGATCAGTACTGTGAGTGCAAGCAGTGTGATGCTAAATACCCAGGTAAAGAATAAAGTTTCTCTTTCTGTTTTATGTGGAGATGAATTTGCAGGGGACATACGACGGAGGGCATGGGCACCATGCCTCTACCATTGAGGTTAATTGGTATAGCGCCACGTCCACTTATATCTAGAGTTTGGCCAGAGCGTGGTGTCACACAAAAGCCTCGCACCCAGCGCCGGATTCATCCCAACCCAGCGATATATTTCCAACCCAGCGCCGGATTCATCCGGAGGGCAGTCCCACTGACCAAAGCGCTCTCCGCGTGATATTGTGTTCCGATTTTTTGAAGTTGATTGAATCCTGGAGAGATATTTTCAGGCCTAAGCGAGACTAATGGTAAAGAGGGCGCGTGGAAGGAATCGGAGACCGTCTCACTGTAGTTTCTTCCTGCAGATGTAATATTTAAATCCGACTTTGGTTTTGCTAGCCGCATCTGCTCGTAAGAATTTGAGGACTTAAGCCCAAGCTTGTAGGCATGCTTGTCATTTAATATTTGAATTTTAATTTAACATTTGTTTCCATTTGCCTGCAAGCTGCGGAGACTGATTTTTCTATTATTACACAGGGGTTGTGTAATCATCAGGTTGATGAACAAATAAGAAGGTTTCTTTTAAACCTTCTTCCGAGTTATTTTACTCAGAGTTTCAGACGGGGCGATAAGTCATTAGACTGTCTTTATGGGTCAAGAGTTAACGATTAGATTGTCAGGGATCTATATGCGTTGCTGCGATATATAAACTTAAGCAAATTTTCTGGATCTCATTTTGACGGTCGAATTATAATTGACACGAAATTAGGTAATATAAATTTATACATTTATATGAAATTTTTATTTAGCCATCATTATTTTAATTTTTTATTTATTTTTATATGTATTAATATTTCATTTCATTTACTTCCTGTTTAAAATGTTATTAATTATTTTAAGTCTGGGTTGAAATGCTTACTTTTCACTAACTATTTTATAAACAATTCAACAACAATGTGTAAGACACAATAACACGCCGAACAAATACTAATTCAGAAGTCAAACAACAAAAAATCAGGGTTATATTTTCAAATTTTCACAGGACTAGTTTCGATGGTTTTACCGAACCATCATCCTCAGCTGTAAAAGCGCAAATGAACGAGATATTATATACTGATTAATAAGATAAGAAAGCATGGACAGGAGATAAGCTACTGGCGCCATCTGTTGATGAAACCAAAACTAAAACATGATTTCTTTAAAAGCTGAAGGCAAAGATGGATTGGAATTAGGGTCGTTAACTAGAACAGAAAAAAATTTTTGAATGTGAAATGCCTCTAGAAAATCAAGTTCAACAATGGAAGATGTTTCTTGAATAATTTTGGCAGCAGAAAAATTGAAAGTGTGATTTTTCGGACCAACAATGTTGGGCAACAACTCATCTAATCATTATATCCTATCTCGTTTATTTGCGCTTTTGCAGCTGAGGATGATGCTTCGGTAAAATCATCGAATCTAGTCCTGTGAAAATTTGAAAATATAACGCTGATTTTTGTTGTTTGGCTTCTGAATTAACAATGTTTAAGTATCAAATAATTATACAATAATACTTAGGGCTAACTAACTATACCCCTGCAGCTTTGTTTGCGACGTGGAAATAAAGTCTATTATGTCGCAGTCCTGCACAAGCGAAAGCGAAAAAATATTTTTCTTTAGAAAAGAATTTTTTTTTTTTTTTTTTTTTTTGGTCACTGGTTGCTGTTTTTGAATTTGAAATGCTGGAATGCAACCATAATAAGACTAGGAAGAAATATTACTGCCAAAGGTACCTTTTATGAATTTTTCTCTTTATACGAATGCTCCGTGAGTTTTTAAAATTAGTTTTAGTTTATAGCTGCACAAAACTATTTTTTTTCAAGTTTTGGCATTTATCAACATTTTCTATACTTATTTAATTTATAAAGCACATTAAAAAAGAATCTAAATTTATATAAATGTGTGTGATTATTTTGAGTGTACAAAGGGAGAAGACCTCCAGTAAATCAGCAGTCGTAAATGGATTGGTGATGACGTTAAAACGTATAACGACGCAGCTGCAGTCATCAGAAAGATTAAATATCCATTTTTATTTTCAAGGCGTAAACAAATCTTTAGAACCATATTCTGTAGACATTACATAACACAATGGGTGCAGTTTTAAATACACATATCACATCTTAAACAATAAAATATATCGCAGGGCAGCGAACAGGTAGACGACAGCAGGCGAGAAAGTAATGCGTATGAAGCATCTG